AGAACCTGCTGATGATCCTATTCTGGTGAAAAGCCTGGAGGCAGCCAGGCCTCGCTAACAGGAGTTACTCGTCGTGCAGGATCCATGCCGCGGCTGTCTGTGGGATGCTCAGGGCCCGGCAGGGCTGTGTGGCAGCCAGGCAGGGGGGTCCATGCCACGTGCCACACACCCGTTTGGGCAACACGCTGCTGCGGCGCAGGCAGTTGAACCCAGCAGAACTGGGTGTATTACAGCGGGGTGTTGCCAGGTCAAATAACCCACGTCGGCACTGGACGAAGAAAGCTTTGGGGGCTATGCAAAACTTGGCTTAAAAACCAGCATCGACAGTGAAAGCCTTTGCTAAGCGTTTATCCTGAAGGTGCCCTGCCATGCCCAGCCTGGGGTACTCGGCACCTCCCAGGCTGCAGCCATGAGCTGTATTTCCCCAGGGTTTTGGAGGGTGGCTGGGGCGAGGCCCCGCTTCCCCACAAGCCCCGGCTGGCAGGACTGCACACTCCATCGCAGCGCAGGCACCTGGAAGAGGCAGCGGAGACCCCAGCAGCCCGTGAAGGAGAAAATGGATGCAAGCCATACAGCCAGCTCTCAGCTGGATCCAGCCTTGCTCACGCTTTAGTAACTGTGATAAACGGGGCTTGAAGTAACTTCTTGTACCTGAAACTGTAATCCACTTGCTTTGCCCGCAAGAGCTCGGGCTTCAGGGAAATCTCTCGCAGAGCCCCATGCAGACAACGGGACCCCTTCGGCTGCCGAAGCCCCTTGAAAGGCGGCAGCCGCTGCCCTGGGCCGCTGCTTGTTTGCTCTCTGCGTACGTGCGAGGGCATGCAACACCCCGGTGCAGGAGGGTGCACAAAACCAAGAGCGGCTGCTCCCCCACCAGCTGTCCCTTTAACATGGAGGTGCTATGGCAGAAACTACCGCTCCCAGAGGACAGCGCTTTGCTTTAATGTCCAGGCTGCGAGCTCGGCCGGCGCCGGAGCGGCGCACGCTGGGGCGTGTAGTTTCCCCCCCTCCCGGCTCTGGCTTTGTGGGGAAAGGGAGCGGAGCCGAGCGGGAGGCACACGAAGGGAACCCCCCCGCCCCCCGAAATTGTGCCTGGCTGCTGGGCTTGCGAAGGCGCGGGGCGAGGAAGGGCCGCGCTCCCCGCCTGCGCTTC